ATAACCTTCCTTTAAACTATCTAGAAGTCAAAATTGAGAAATTCAATAGTTTCTTTCATTAGTATGCTGCATTTCATTATGGCATTTTCCTAATATACTTGGGGAAAAAAAAACATCAAGCTTGCGTATTTCAGTAGTGAAAAGGAGGATCTCTTTTTAAGAAAACACAAAATACATCAGCTATTACACATATTCATAATGATTCTGGAAAAAGCTGTCATGCCTTTCTGAAACAGGAATACCATAATTGTGGTTTTCTCCATTTTGTTTGTTCTTATTAATTTATACACATGACAGCAGCTTGATGATTCAAGTACAGGTGCAGAATTCCATACAATTTAATTGGTACAGTATCAGAAAGAAACAAATACAGCCATTCTAGGCAAGAGCCACTCATGTATCCAAAGTAATGTAGCATTCTGGTCAGTAGCTGTTAGCCCTTACGCTGGGATTATAGACCACAGGCCTTTTCAACCATAGTTTATTTTTGTGGAAACCTTCAAGAAGTTTGTGGAACTCACCGTTCCATTTTCCTTAAAGAAAAAGATACCTGCACAGTACGGTGAATCCCATCATGAGAAGGTCGATACTGGATGCACTGATTATACTTCACAGAATAGCACAAAACAGAGGAACTTTTCTCCTACAACTTCAAGTTACGTACCATATTGCATTATAAACTCTGCATGTTTTTTAAGATCTATGCACAGAACTATGCATGCGCAGTAGACCAGCTCCAAGCAAGAGTACAGGTACTCTGTTTAGCACACATGTGCACTTTGTTTCCACATGGTTCTACTGGTTTCCGTTTCTCTTGCATTTCCTACAATTGTGGACTGACATAAGCAGATAAGAAGTGTTCACTCTCTTTGTTGTATGCCCCGTGTGGAAAAAAGGAAGATACATTTTGTAAGCATATAGATTATCTAACAGTTGTCCTCATCATCATTTTTGCCATACGCTCCAGTAGAAGAGTGGTACTTTTCTTCCTGAAATTGTACAGCTTTTATTTTCCTGGCTGAAGAAAATGGACATAAGAGAACACGTGGGAAATGGCAGTAAATCACTAGCGTGGTTTTGGTTGACTCAGAAAATACCTGTTGACTAGGAGACGTGCAAGAAGTGCGAGTTTGAGATGGGAAGGGGTCAGTTTTCATCGACACTTCAGGGCTGTAGGTTGTACTATAAACTGAGTAGTGAAGTGGCAGCAGCAGCACCATCCTTCACTGTCCTCCCTACGCTGGAAGTTTCTGGTTTTTCATTCTTGGTGCTAGCCCTGTTGTGGGCGATCCTTGATGCTTTCCACTGCAAAGCGCACATTTCAAGGCAATATATGTGAAGTCTAGAGAGCACATCCTTCCCTCCACCTGCTGCCTAATGGCTATGCTGCTGTCTCAAGGGGTAAACGATTTCTCACATACTGTCTACTTCTGTGAGCACTGATAAAAACTCCATAATGATGTAAGTCACTTTTGCATTATTACAATGATGACAGTGGTGGCAGTCCTCATTCAACACCCTGTTCTCCCAAAAGTTACTGGAAAAACTCCCATTTAATGAGACTTAGGCTGAACCTGTATCAACCAGCCTGGTCTATTGGATGATACTGACATTCACTTACATCCTAATCTCATCAGCTTCTGAAGTCTGCAAAGGACGTGCAGCATTTGTTCGTTGTTTCCATTGCACCCAGGGAACTGCGAGGCACTGTGTGCAATTAGACCGGCAGTTCTCCAGGTACATTTCCATGAGTGACTAATGCTGACAGTAGCACATTGACTCTTTCCTCATGAGAGTGGAACACAACTATTTACGACTAAAGATTAACTTCCTCAGAGTTCAAAACTGTTAATTTGTCAAATTTGAAAACTGAGGTTAAGTTTAGTCGTAGCTGTTAATTAACTTATATGATAGCTATCAATATTTTACTTTCCTGGGATTTTCCATTTCAAAGGCATTGAAAGAAGCAGAAAAGTACATTGCCAATCACATCGAGAAGATGGAAGGATTTTGTTTGTTTTACCAAGTCATATGCTTTCTTGAAATTTCAGTCCTCTCTTGATTTGTCTGAAGTCCAAATTATGGTATACTGATAAGTATATACATACAGATAATACATGAACTTCTGGAGGTCGCAAGCACTGAAAAAAATTATAGAGATACTGTTATTTTCTACCAGGCAGACAGATTAATTTGGTACAAGGAGAGAAATAGTTCTTTGGACTAGTTCGATGTTATTTCTGGGATGCAGATTGTGCATGAGATTCTGCATGGCTGTGACCGGTAGCTCAGCAGTAGCTAGGAAAAACAACATTACCATAAAAGAGGAACTATTTAAAAATCTAATACCTCACAAAGTACTGAATTAAAAACATACCTTGCATATGTGCATGTAGATTGTCGTTTCTTCAAGCCAACTGATGCCTGACTGGTCAGTCGGTGGCAAACAAATGCAGTCATGCTTAAACAGTGCTAGGTATCTGGCCAAACTGGGAGAAAAGAGTCTGGGCAGAAAGTTATCTTTGCGTGTAGATTTATTATAGAGATATGAAGTGGCAGAATGTCTTTTTAGATTATGCTGATATACTCCATTTGTTACCTGAAAAGTTACAGTGCTTTTTAAGGCAGTATTTTAAAATGTCATTAATTTGAAGAAAAGTTAGCTTTCTACTAACACCAGGTCTAGGCTTGCTTGTCCACCTGGCTTGTTTAAAAAACATGCTGGCTTTGAAAAAGATTTACAGATGCGCGGCAATCAGTTGCTTATGTGCGGTGCTCTGTGCATATAGAACTGGATGAGCACATGGGCTGTCAGCTGGATGCATTTGGCACGCATCCACATTGCCGTGCAGGTATATATCAACTGCATGATGCTCTCCCTGGGAGCTCTGAGCTGGGGTGTTTATCACACTGCTTCTTCTCCTGGCCTCCTCCCCTCTCTGCTGGAAAAAATCATTTGTCTTGCTTGCTTGCCAGCAAGACAAATTGGGGAAAATCAGCCATCCTGGCTGGAAGTCAGCAGCCCTGATCAGGGAATCCAGTCATGTCCTCTGAGGTTGTTCCTGCTGGGCGTCGTGTGCCTTCGATGTACTTTGACACTGGCTCCCTGTGATTCTGAGGGAAAGAACTGATTTACCGTGGTTTACAGCGGGGAGAAGTTGTGATGCCGTGTATGGACACTCAGTTCCATTTGCCTTCTGGCAGCAGGGAAACAGCACTTGGCTTTTCTGCTCTCTTCCTAAGTTCTCCAGTATTTTCCCCAAAGGTACAAAAAAGTTGAAATGCTCGTTATTGCAAGCAATGCACATGCATTTAGCATGAAACTGATTACATTCATGTTCTTTTAAGATTTTTTTTAAATTACAAATTTTACAGAAAACTGATAGTCTTTCATACATCTGTACATTTTGTAGTGCTCTCCTTTTGATGCATGTACATTCAATGTGTTAATTTAAGGTGTCATTAGAAATGAATACATCACTTTTTTGTTTTCATAGGCATAGATTGAATGTCTAAGCAGATAATGTATCCAATAGTTTTGTACTCAGAACTGGTTGCCTGGTGAGAGTAAACATATGCCCGGGAATCAGCTTGATTTAATGACTTTTAAAGATGGGATATCAAGTCCTTTAACGGTGGCTTCTAAAAATAAGATTAAATTAGTGAAACAGTAAGTTCTCCATTACCTGAAAGTCCGAGTATTCTTACGTAGTAAATACTGGTTATTGTTTTCCATAAATTCAGTCCCACAGTTAAGTAAAATTTCCTCACTGGTAGTCATTCTTGTGAAGGTCTTTGGGTTTGCAGTCTCAAGACACACTTCTCCGTGCTGAAGGACCAACTGAAAGTAATTTTGAAGCGATCTTCAATTTAGGAACTAACCATTAATCAGAGTGGCTACAGGGGGAGTACAGCAGCAGGGTGGAATAAAATAATCCTGTCTTGCTGCCCAGATTGCAAAGACTGTTCAAGTCCTTGCGATACATTTCAGTTTCAGAATTGTTTCTCCTCTGCACTTATTTATTTGTCTTGGTAAACATTTGACTAATACTGTAGAGTGCATCATTAAAATATTTCCATACATTTGTGCTTATATGTATGCACAGCGTGTCACGTCTACAAAAGAAGAGTATGTCCTTATTCAACAGGCTTCCTATGAAGTCCTTCTATTGCACCTCTTCTTGTTCCAGTTGCTACCATAACAGTCCTCTGACAGCAAGAACGTATTTCTCCACCTGTGTAACTGTTCTTTTTATGCAAAGCAATGCTTCGGATGTGGGGTTTTTGTGTGGAAGGAGGTGTTTGCTCTGCTGGGCTCAGACAAGCTCCTGAGCCAGGACGTGGGAGTGGGACTGGGATGGGGATGGGGGGGACACGGCACTGGAGCCACCAGTCCGACCCTTCAGAAGTGCTGCGAGTTCAAAGGCAAATGAGGGGCAAATACGCAGCCCTGTTTTTTGGGGGCTGGGGCTTCTGTGTTCATCACACATTTCTTTTAGAGGGATGAAAAGGGTGCCCAGTCTTCCTTTATCCTCAAGGGCCCTCTGTAGGGCCAGCCAGCGTCCCAGGGAAGACGGGTGGCAGCTTCCTTTGGGATCTGGTGGCAGCTGAGCTTCAAATTCACCTGCTGAGGGTAACAGCACGGCATCCCGACACCGCGGTTGCCGGCTGCTCTGGTGCGATGTCCCTCACACATCTTGTGTGCCTGTCTGACATCGCGTCTGGGGGGAAAAAAGGTTGGCCTGGAGCACTCTGTGAAGTTTTGTGTTATTCTAAAAAGGAAGAAGGAAAATTAAAAACTTGTTACGGCTTTTTTTTACTACAGAGAAAGGTAGTAAATAACTAACAGAAGACAGTTGTTTCTAGCGCCTGTTTTAGCTAAAATAACCGAGGTTAATTATTAAACCTTTTACTTGGTTGCTCACTTGTGCTGCTGATGCTTTAATCCTGGGTCACAGAAAGTTTAAGAGTGCTTTACAGGGGAGACTCACTTCTTTTTGCCTCAACCTTTCCACGCTGACAGGATGTTACGGGTTTTGCTGCTTACTCTCTCTGTAGTTGCTGTTGCTCATGCTGAGCTCTGCAAGCCAGGTAAGTTTTGGAGCTGATTCCCGTCCTTCCCCAGGTAAATGTAGCTATGAGTTTATTCCTACAAAGCAGGCAGCTTCTCAGATTTTTATTTTAACTGGTTGCCTCCAGTTTGAAGATTGAAACACCGAGCGTTTGCTTCTTTTATGAGTTTGTATGTTAAGTATGGAAGTTGATCTCCCTTGAAGAGGTCATAGTAGACCTCGCTGAGACTTGTAGGGCTGCGGCTTTTTTCGTGTCAGTAACTTCTGTTCTCCTAACCAGGTGATCTGTTAAGACAAATTTACAAGCTGCCATTTGTGAAATAATTAGAGAAGTAAATGATTTAAAATCCTATTTTGGCTGACTGTCAATATATGTTTGCTTTTTTCTCTTTGTGTCAGATGCTCAGAATGCTTTCAAAGTACGGCTTAGTATCAAAACAGCTTTGGGAGATAATGCAGTAAGTAAAGTATCTTCACATATTCTTCCTAACTGAATATCTGCCAAAATAGAAGTAATATATACTGTAAAATTTCTGAAGGCAGCACAAGTAATTTGTTCTGAAGTGTTAATTGTAATAGCTTGCTCAAGTCATGATCCAGGCATCTATTTCTTGACATTTGACTAGCCCACTCCTTAAAACGACATCCTTTAAGAGAAGTATAAAGCTTGCCTTCTCATAAAGATAATTTTCTGTCAAAAGATTTTTTTATTCCCCTGGAAAAACAGTGGAGATGTTACACTTTATGCATGAGAGGTGCTGCATAAATCTAAGTCTGTATTTTGGGAAAATCACTTTTGCTTGAGAGTGCTAATTGTAAAGTGAAGCATGTCTGGGAAGAGAAGCAGGAGAAGGTTGTTAGGTCTTTATGAAATGGGACTTCATGTCAGGCTCTCAGACAAGCAGAGATCTGTAGAGATCATTCAAGCATATCTCATCAATTCCCTGCTAATGTAGGGCTTCGGATAGGAGCCTTTCCTCTCTGCTTGTGGTGCAAGTCTCAAGAGCACTGAAATGCTTTGGCTTAATTCAAGTCCTTGGGCTTAACGTAGAAGTACTGGTGTGAGCAATAAGGGTCTGTGATACAGAAGAGATCGGGGCATTAGTTGACAAAATGGTCCTTCCTGATCTAAAGCGCTATGAAGTATGGTACAGCCCAGTACTTCATTTGCAGTTTAGAATGCTTAGAGCAAACCCGCAGCATGTTACAGCGTAAAATTAGACATGACATGTCTTGGACAGTCATCTCCACTGGAAGTCTGGTGTCTGATTTTGTCAGGAGCCCTGGGAAACATAAAGCAGTACATTGCATGTTATAAGAGACTGGAGGTATGAAAATCTCCTTATGGCCGTAGAAGCTGTTCTAAACTTACCCTGAAACATCAGCTAATTTAATCTAGCATTAGCAGGGACCTAATTCCGCTAGTAACTTCATAAACCAGACAAATTGGGAAGAAATAGTCGAGATACATGCTAAAGTATTTGTCTGTGGAAATTCATATTGAAGTCAATTCTCTTGAGTGAGAGACTTTAATTAAACAGAAGCATGAGCCTGGGTTGTTAAAAAAATTATTAAAAATAGTGTAATCCTATAGCTGAAAATATGTCAAGGTCATTATTGAAGCTCCTGTTGATGATAACTGCTAATATTTTGATTAAATCTTGGTTGAAAATAGTAGCAAAGGATGCAAATTGTGGTTCCTAGTAATGCTCGCTCTTAGTGCTTTTTGCTTCTCCAACTGTAGTAAAATAAGGTGGCTTTGTTTTATCATTTGTGATTTTTTTTATTTTCCATCCAGAAAGGGTATGATACAAATCATTAATCTTAAAGGCCTTTTATATTACAATAAAAAAGCAACAACTGAGGAGTCATTGTTTTTTGTAGATAGATAGTAGTTTATTTCATATAACAAAGTGTGTGAAAGCCCTAAGAATGGGACAATCTAGAACAGCATTTTAGAACAACAACATGCTGAAAATGGTATGATGCCATACAAAATTACCCACCAATAACAAACAATTTATTAAGTGCACAGATAGTAGTTCATTTTCTTAGCCACTGCAATCTTCTTTGCAAATGACTGAAATGGGAAACTGAAACTACTATCAAACTGACATTGTTTGAAGAGTTTGGGACACTTTACTTTTTTATTTTATTTATTTATTTTAGCAAAGAAAAGCGTAATGCTGTCGTATCACAGTAGGACACAGCCAGCTTAGAATATCTTAGTGTGATGCTCTGCTACTGAATTCCATTTCATTCATTTCCAAGTCACTTCAAGCTAGATGATAACAGAAAACCCTGATACTGTGGACATTTTCCTCTAGGACTGGCAGGATAACTCCAATGTACATTCAGGGGCATAGGAAATAGGCTAGTGTCATTTTCCACACGGTTTGGTGCGTGCCATCCACATTGTGTGAGGCTGATAAAGACAGGACACCATTTTTTCATTTGTTCGCAAGGTAGGCTATACTTTGAGGCAGGGAGTGCCATTTCGTGTATTTATATAGTTCTTATCACAATGGAACTGAAAGAGCAGCTAAAGTACAGTAAGTATTTAGGTGTTATCATTTTATTTGCCAATAATGAGCGTACTTGACAGAGACATTATTTGCTAACCGGTGGGAGGAAACGTGGAGTCTGTAAGCCTAAATGGAAGGAAGGTGATTTATGAGTCTCTCTGAGGATGGTGTTAACTTTATGAATGGCTTCTGGAATAGCTGCTAATCACTAGTTGCTTCCTACTCATGGAATTAGCAGAGAGGTAGAGAGTTAATTCAAAAAGGCCAAAGAAAACTAGGGAGTGAGCAGAAATAATGTGCACTGAGAAGTCTGTGTAGCTGTGTCACCACTCAGTTTAACTGTAAGAGTCAGAGCTGGCACCTCAGGGGCTGAAGCAGAAGGTGCACTTCTTCTGTGGCTCATGTATTCAGGTTGCTTCCAGGGCAGAGGATGAAGGGGAGAAAGGCTGACATGCATCTAGTGTCTTGCCACCAAAGGGGACCCAGAAGTGTGTTCGTGTGTCTGTAGCTACACTGCAGTCTGAATGGCTGTCGAGTTAAAACGCAGACCCATTCAGGAGGCAAGCGACCTTGGAAGGTCCTTAGTCCCCTACTGCTCAAAGCCGGGTCAACATTGAAATCAGATCAGGTTGCTCAGGGCAATGTTGTAATTTTATAGTCTCATTCTACTAGTTAAAATTTTGTCTTCCTTGGAGCACTGTTATAACTTTTCACCCCATCAACAACCTACACTTATCATCTTTTACCCATTATCTCATCAACCTCCTCTTTCACTAACAGGCACTTAAGGCTGGCTTTCACAGTCAGCTGTGTCTAATTCTGCTCCTCCTTACCATCTAAAGGATGGAAAGTGCAACTGAGCCAAGATCTTTGTTCCTTTGTAGAGCAAAGATAGTAAACATTAATAGTTCTGATACCATCATGGAAGATTTTGTAGATAACAGAGTTGTGTTTATGATGTGTGGTTGCAAATGATACTTAATACATTTCCTCTATAGCAACGCAAAACGTACATCAATAGCTGTACTTCGTAGGAACGTAAGACCAGAGGCACCATCCTCAGTCATCAGCTGCAGTCCAGGCCTTTGCAACTGGAGGATAAAGATGGAACTGATAAAGCCCCATAGTAGGATGATTCCAGTTTCTTTGCACCTATCCCTCTGACTGGAGAAAGCTGATGATTAGAAATTGGCTTCTGGCAATTCCTGTCTACTCATCCTGAGTTCATACAGTTTATTAGCTTAAAGGTATTCTTGCCGTACTTTCCCCCGTCATTATGTTGCCTCCCCCCTGCATATTCCTGCATGCAGTCATGTACAGAGGTTCTTGTTCACATGGAGCCCACAGCCATCTCTATCTCCTTTACCTCCCGTCTGATCACTGTTTTCTTGGGGCTTCTTGCCCTTCTGCCCAGAAGTTTGTCTGCAGCATCTTCTCCTCACTCAAGCAGAGCCCTGATTCCTGCTAAGCTTTCTCTGCTGATCTCCTGCCCCATTTCTTGCAGCTTTCTGTTTATTCTGTCTTTTTTAAAGTGCCTACTCTTTCAGCTGCAGCTGGAGTTCATCACTAGAAATTATTTTCCCTGTTTTAAGATACCTTTTTTGTTACTCTGACTTAAAGAAGCTCTAGGTTATTGCATTGTTTATGAAAACTGAATACTTGATAGTGACAAATTGTGCATATATATGTGTACTGCACTAAACATAAACATATCAAGTACATATGCTAAGTAGTGCTGCATTGCATTTGTGTCCATGTAAGCATGGAATGGAGTGTGCTTCATCATTATCAGTTTTCAAGACAACTGATTAAATTATCTCTACAGCTGGTTTAATCCACTGGATAACAAATGATTTTGTTCTGTCCTTTTGGACTTGTTCTCAAAGACTGCAGATGGTATGTAGGGATTCAGTCAATAGTGACACACACAGAAAAAGGAAGATCTTCCCTTTTACTGCTGCAAATTGTGCTCCGTGGTTTAAATACAGATGTCTTTAAAATCACGATAAATAGTTTTATGGCTGTCATCTGTATTAATTCCTCTACTACATTATCTCTTTTTCTTTCAGTACTCGTTGCTGACATTACTGTCACATTTTCATCAGTGCAGTGGGATCAAAATACAGGCTTTTATAATTTCTTTTCAAAGAGTCTCCCTCTTTTTTTTTTTTTTTTTTTTTCCAGTTTAAGTTCCCAGACTGGCATGCATTATCACAGTATGCTTACACCTCCCTTCATTCACAAGGCGAGTGGTGAGTCAGAACCCAGATTCTCAGGACTGCATCTGGATTTTCATGCTACTCAAGTTGTCTGTTGCTCAGCTTTATTGTCCCTGTCCTACTGCATCGAAGAGAACCCATTTTACAACTCGTTATTTGTCTAGGGATGATAAATATGATCAGTATGATTTTCTGCCCTTTAAATGACTGCCTCCTTCCCTACTTTGGCTCCCGGTCCACAGGATGTCAGAGCAAAATGAAGGCTGCTGCCTGGAAGTTGGATTCCTTCTTTCTGAGGAGAGGTTGCAGCTGCATGCATCCAAAATGAGAATTTGAAAACCAGAATTAAGATTTGGCATTTTCAGTGCTGTTTACCCTACTGCCTTTTGATGTACATTGCTGGTTTTTGAATGTGTTATAAAGGCCCATGAAAAAGTAGCCACAAGTTATCAACAGCGTTAAGTATCCACTCTGTTGGGTTTCTGGTTTGGATGAGTACAGTGCAGATTTTTTAATGCTGAAAGTTAAAGATTAGATTTGTGTTCTGATTGACTGAAGAAAGCTGCCTCTAACCTCCATTAATATCATTCCAAGAAACTATTAATCTTTGTAATCTGCTGAAAGGGAAAATTCAATCAGTATGCCTCAGTCATGGCTCTTGTTATAAAAATGTAATAGGTGCAGTTCTTACAAGTCATTAGAATTGCATATGTGAATGAAAGCCCAGGGGAGCCTAGTGAAGCTATCTCAGAAAACTGAAATTACGGAAGCATGATTTTTCATCAAGACAATAGAGAACAGTTTTCGCAACCTGTATTTTACTTCTTATTGAAGTAGTAAGGATGCTATTTGCTTTCTTTTGTCTCATGTGAGGTGTAGTAATTTGTACTATAGTTGAGACTGTCTTCTTGTTGCAGGGATGACGTGCAGCAATAAGGCCATAATCTCATTTTATTTCCTGGTGTCCTGACATCCAACTCCCAGAGGCTACCTTCAATTAGCTTTTTTTTTTTTTATTTTTGGGCAGAGCCAAGTCGTCTTTGAGAGTGGATTTAAACTTTCTACTTTAACAGGGTTTATCCAGCAAAAGAGGCAAGACCATTGGTGCAGCTGTGTGGGGAGAATTGTAGTAATATGCCTAGTTTTTGGTCCAAGAAACTTTACATCTCCAGTTTGGTCAGCTTTCAGAAACCTTCAATTGATTCTGTTTCTGGAAACATTCTTTGAACTTTATATTGCGCTTTGTAACAGCCGTTAGAAAAAGTCCTTTGTGCATGCTAAATAATGGCAGGAATTTATTTTCGTAGCACAACCAGAGGATTTATTCATTTTCTTGATCAATATAGCATTTCAAGTTCAGGGAGTCTTTTCCCTCTCTGTACTGCCAGCACTGGTACTGAAACTGATTATTTTCCATCTTCCTTTGCAGTATGCCTGGGATGCTAATGAAGAATACCTCTTCAAAGCAATGGTGGCTTTTGCAATGAGAAGATATTCCAGCGAGAGCACAACTCAGTAAGCATCTTCATACATATTAACAATGCTGCGTGTAGTGGCCCATTCTCTGCTATACTGCCCTGTAGAAATCATGATATACAGCTTCTAAACACAGACTGTTCCAGTCTATTTCATTGACACCCAGATATGTGTTAAACATCCCACTCCCTCCGTCTTAAGCAATATTCAGTCTTTGGACCAGTATCCCTGTTGATGCAAAGTGACACAGCTGTGGATCTTGGTGGGATTGTGCCAATTCACTCTAGCAGAATCTGGCAGTAAGACCTTCTGGAGACCATACTGGGAGGAGGCGAGGGGCCGTATTGGCAAGGTCAAGAAATGCAATACAGATCCTTGAATAAGCAGTTTTGGTGCATGTTTTCTTAGAGCACAGCTTCAGCAATATGCTGAAGGTGAGCTGGCTCAGAGAACTGGAAGGTGGATAGCTGTGCTAGCGCTGTGTTCTGCTGGGGGGTGTCTGTCCCTAATATTGCAGCGGTTGAGTTACCTAGCATCAAGAAGGTTCAGATGTTGCAGTTCAGACATAAATCAGCCTTTAATTGGTTTTGGGATTAAATCTACCCTGAGGTATTGAATATTCTTCTCAGGCTTCTGATCCTTGCTACTTATGAAATTAGATACCAGATTAGACAGACCGTTTAGCAAGCTATATTTTCAGCATGTTCTTATCTTTCTTAAATGAGAAACCTTGGAAGTGTATTTCTATAGGCCTATTATTTTTTTCATTGTTTTTCAATCTTAAAGGAAAGATTTATGGTTCTGGTAGGCTAATAAGGATAAGATTCTCGATTTACTTAAAAAAACCCCTGCTTCAGGCTGTCATTGCATCAGAGGAAGCATATTCCACATTTGCAAAGATATTAGTTAACTTCAGTCACATGATTATTGCGGCTGGTGCACTTTCTCTTAAACAGGTGATTTCCCCCTCCATGTAACAGGAGTATCTGGTTCCTTGCTGTTTCATTTTTATTCCTCAGATGTTGTCTCCTTTGAGCAAGAGAGCCATTACACCAAGCATAACAAAAACAGCCAAGTGTGCTACTGCACTCAATTAAAATGACAGTTAAAAAAAAAAAAAAGAGTTCAAGATACAAGCTAATTAAAGGTTATTATGCAGGGCTTTTTCTCAGGTTTTCAAATTAGCAGAGTTTTCATCTACTATCTGATGCATGAAGATTTGCTTTTATATACTTATTTTAGTCCCAAGTCCTTCTTTTTAAATTATTCTCTTCCTTCAAAATCATGGTGCTTTCACACAGCAAAAAAACTGTGTCAGAAATCAGTGATCTTTTTTGTCTTCAAGCACCATGGCTCTCTTCAGACTCAAATAATAATGGAAAGCTTGGTGCAGGGATGAGAAAAAATCAAGCCAGCATGGCAGGAGTTAAAGTTTTAATGGAAGTTATCTCTATCCACTCTGGGAAATCACAGAATTTATGCTCACTTAATTCAGTTTCCTACCAAGACAATTTTTCATATGGACAAATATGATAATGTCAGTGTTACTCCAGTTTGGAGGTGAGGTTGCACAAGTCAATAATTTCCTGCTACTGTGTTTGTCAGAGAAGAGGTCAGTATAATAGTTGGAAACAGCTAGGTGTGGGCAACTTTACCTCTTTTTAAGATGGAGGCCTTCCTCATGCGATATAACTTGTTGGACTGTACCTTGGAGATATAACCGATAACTCTTCTAGGACTTCTGGATACCTTTGGGGTCATACGTAGACAGCATGTCAACCACAGGACAGCTGTGCAGCTCTGAGATCTGGTACAACTTACTAGGCAACAGCCTGAGGAGTTTCCTATCTGTAGATCTCTCCCAGATCCTGAGGCATCTCAGGGTCCCTGCTCAGTGATGGAGAGCTAAATGAACTTCCCAATACACCCCAAATAACCTGCTTGTTACATGGGAGCAGGAAAGCTATGAAAGCCTCCATCCTGTTAGAAGTCCTGGAAATACTGCACTCTTTTCCCCACCCTTATAGCTGGCAGCTGGAGGGAACTGGGTATAGAGGAAGGAGTGCTGTCCATCTCCATCCCTTCTGCAGTGGGTATGGAGGTGTGGGAGCCCTCAGCATCCCAGAGGGTCCAGCAGCGTGCCGGGCACACAGAAATGGTGTTCCCGCATAGCTGGTAAGGACAGCGGCAGGGACTTGCAGTGTGGTGAAGAGGGAGGTAGAAGCAGGAGCTTGTGTCAAATAAATTGCATTACACTGCAGGAGCTTTTACAGATAAATGCCAACGGTTTTTCTTCGGGATCTGTAAAAGATCAATGATCACTTATTCTGTCATAAAAGAACAAACAAATTGCTTGTGACTGCATTCTGGTAGCATCTAGATTTACCCAAATTTTTCATCTGGTTAATTAAGCATTTTTGTCAAAATAAAGGCTTATGAAAAATTCGCCAGTATTTTACGTAACCTAATACTGATTCTGCCAGAGTATAAATTCTGCATAGGGCATTAACCAGGATGTGACAAGCCTCCCCTCTAACATCCCATTTATTTCTAACACACCCACAGCCCTGCAGTAACTCATAGCCACAGCTAACTCCTGCATGAGACCAAATGCCTTAACTTCAGCAAGCTGGATCACTCCCCAAAATAATTTGTCTGGTGGATCAGCATAACCATTGCTGCAGTCTGTCCCATCATTTTTGAGATTCAAAGTCACCTTTTGTTAGGCTTCTGAAGCTGGATAAAAGCCAGCCTGTAATAGCAAGCATTTGAATGTGCTGCTGGAAACAACAGTTGATGCTGTTGTTGCCCTTCTGTAACCACTGAGTGACCTAACGCAGAATGGACAGGATTGCACATTATGTCTTGAGTTCTCCAGAGTTAATTTCTAAACTAAAATTTAATAAATCATGGAGCTGTGTGTAATGTTTGAAAGGCTTGTCAAATTTAAGTTTGTGTGGAACAGAAGAAAGACACAATCCATCAAATTACTCAATAATTATTAATACAGATAAAACAAATACTTCGTTTTCAGTGGAGAATTAAAACCCCTTTATTTCCTGCTCTATTTGGCCTTTTAATTCGTTCTCAATACATACATTCATGAACTATGTTAATCCAACCTTTGATCTCTCAGTGTTAAAAGATCTGTAGTCTCTGTCTGTAACCCTGCTTTCTCTAATCTGTGACTCATTTGAAATAATATGCATCTCTTTTGGGCCTGAGAGTAGTTAATCTTTAGAGCAGAAAGAATGTCATCACATTTACTTTCATTCAAGTAACAGAATCTACTTTTTGGTACATCTTCCCCCCATTTGTAAATTAAAAAAAGCTGCAGTTTTCCTCATGGAGTGACCAGAAAAAAAATTCACCAACATTATCCCTCTTCCTAAGACCGGCTATTTTGATACTAAAAACATTGTGACCATTTAGAACAACAAAATAAGCTTCTAGAGTTAAAGCTGTTACGTCAAGGTGATCCCATGACTGCTTTTTTTTTATCCCATTTATCCCACAAAAGGGAAGAAAATAAAATTTCTTTGCAGGAGCAGCTGCACAGCACTAGGTTGGAAAAGGCCTGATGCTTTTGGGAGAGCTGGAGATAGGCACCTGGGACTTGGAGGCTGTGGTTCTCCCACAAGCTAACGGCCACTGTAGGCACCCAACTCCCTTTGAGTCTCTGGCACCTCTTTTTTACCCCTAAACAATCCTCTAAATCTCCATAAAGAACAACGGTGGTGTTTCAGGGCAAGGGACCATCAGGGTTTCCCACGCTCTACTCACTAGTGATCACTTGCGTATACTAAAGGAAATGCAATTTTTGGACTTTTGCCATGGTGCCATAAGGCAGAACCAGGATCTTGTCATTTTGATGATAGCAGTCTCCTATAATCCCCATGACAAAAGTCTGTCACCTGCTAAGGAAATAAAAAGATGTCGACATACACGTTTACAAATATGCTTAATTAGTGTAGTGCACAGAGAAGTCTGGTTTCTCAAATCTAAACAGTGTAAAGGCATAGTTGTGTAAGGCTTCTGCATGCTGTGAATCAAACCTGTGTGCAAATTGCACGGGGGGTAAAAAAAAAGGCATACCTGCTGCAAAGACATTGCCACATTGGTGCTTGTTGAACCAGTCTGTTTTGGTGTTCACTCAATCCTCTTTGAACTTCTCATGAGCGATATTATTCTCTTTGGAGCCTGGAAGGATTTACAGCATTCAGATTCCACTGATGAAAAAGTGGCAGCAGGTTTTGGATGCTTGTAATTGAGCAAGGATTTTAGACACAACAGGGAGCAGAAAGGAGGCAAAATTTATGCATCCTAGTGTAAGCCTTGCTGCCCAATCGATTCAGTGCTGTTTGTTCGAGAGAGAGAGAGAGATGCTGCCCCTAATGATGACCGACTGCCCTATCTCATGCGGAAAACCTTGGCACTGGAGGGAAGACCCCAGGTTAAAGAGTCTCTTTGAGTCTCTGAACAAGAATGAGAAAGTCAGAGTGTTCTGCCAGTCTACCAAATTTATCTTTCTCTTTGGGGATCAAACTTTCCTCACTCCATTTCAAGAACATCTGTAGGGCAACAAGAACCCAGATTTTCTACCTGGACCAGTTTTTGATTGTGCCACAGAAATTCCAGCTTTAAGAACTGCAGTAACATGAAGCTTTAGCTCCTACTGTTATAGATTCTCCTGATGGAAAAATTCCTCTGCAGATACAATTTTAGATGTTCTGTGAAGTCAGCAAGAGTTTGACAGCCAACAGCCAAAAGTAGACTCTTCCCCGCCCCCCTCCTGTAGATTTTGTGCTTTGCTTTTGTTTTGGGAGGAATAAATCTGCTTTAATCTTCTGACTGTTGCCAGCAAACTGATATGAACGTCTTTTCAAATTCCAGAGAATGGCTTTCCTCTTTTATCCATAACAATTCTCTGTATTTGCAAGATTGACATTGTTCCAGAGAGGTAAAAGTGCATATTTCAGCTCTGCAGAATCATTGCTTTCCATTTTATTGCACATCTCTATGGAATAGATACCTTCTCTGTAAAACAAAGGTTGCACTACCCAAGGCACCCGAAACACCACCCAAAAAAGCTTTCAGCAGTAAGTAAAATATTTCTGCAAAATATCCATAATGAGCTACTGTGATCAAGCCAATGCCTGTCCTGCCTTAAAAGCAAACTCATTCTTTTCTGGATGGAGATTACACATTCATCAGCAGTTTTGGCTCCTTTATATTCCTTCCTACCTCAATTCTTCCTGCTCCTCAGGCCACTGCAGAGGTCAGTTAATTATGTTTGTTAATTACCCAGCAGATGGCACTACAAAACAGAGCTCTGTGACAGGGCAGATTGCTTGCGGCTGGGGATTTGTCACTCTGAGAAAGAGCACAGGCCGGAAAGCAAACGTTAAAACTTGCATTTTGATGATGGACAGGCCAAACCTTAAAACCAGTTATAGTAGTTAGTAATATAGTAGTTAGTGCTGGGTCCAGTTCTGGGCTCCCCAGTTCAAGACAGACAAGGAACTACTGGAGAGAGCCCAGCGGAGGGCAACGAAGGTGATGAGGGGACTGGAGCATCTCCCTTGTGAGGAAAGGCTGAGGGAACTGGGTCTGTTCAACCTGGAGAAGAGAAGACTGAGAGGGGATCTCATCAATGCTTATCAATACCTTAAGGGCGGGTGTCAAGAGGATGGGGCCAGACTCTTTTCAGTGGTGCCCAGCGACAGGTTAAGGGTCAACGGGCACAAACAGAAACTCAGGCAGTTCCACCTGAAGATGAGGAAGAACTTCTGTACTTTGAGGGTGGCAGAGCCCTGGCACAGGCTGCCCAGAGCGGCTGTGGGGTCTCCTTCTCTGGAGATATTCAAAACCCACCTTGACGTGATCCTGTGCAACTTGGTGTAGGTGACCCTGCTTTGGCAGGGGGTTGGACTGGGTGATCTCCAGAGGGCCCTGCCAGCCCCCACCAGTCTGGGATTCTGTGATTCTGTGGTGGGCATTACAAACATCACTGCAGTTAATTAAAAGAGGGGCTGCATTCTTCTTCGCTGGCTCACTGCAAGGTTTCCTTCTCCAGAACTGCAGGTAGTATCTGAAGACTGATCATCCCAAGAGGGGTCTGTCAACACAGGGCAGCTGTGTTGTGGTTGTGGCCAGGTAGACCTTGTGCAAAGGTGAAGCAAGTCCAGGCTGCTCTCTGGAAATAAAAATGATCCTAATTCTTGGTCCTGGACTTTCAGAATATCTGCTAGCTGCTTGGACATGGCCAGTAAGTCTGAATCCTGAGCCAAATTCTTTGGGTTATTTATTAATGATATGGAACTAAATATTTTTTTCCATTTGTATCTCTCTAGCTATCTGTCATTGAATTCCTAAAGGCTTTGGCTGTCCTTTTATGATACATGCTATGTTCCTTGCCATGCCATAAATGTCACCTTAGACAGTTCCTGTATATTACACGAGTTTGGCTGATTTGTTTCTTAGTTGTGTGAATAAGCTAGGAACAGCTAGCAGAACATAGAGCCACCATCTGTCCTCAGTCACTATTATGATACTAACGTATTAGCCTTCACTTCTTTAGTTTAAATACTCATGATGATGTCATTCCATGAGGTTTTTCTAATGATAGTCCCACCATTTACTGGTATTAGTGGTAGAAAACAAATTTGTAAGAATCTGAAAAAAGGCATTTAAAAGACATTTCACACACTTTTTACATAGTATGCCATGCAAAGCTGCATGCCTGTACCCTTCCAGCATTAACTTCACATAAAGCTGAGCAATCTTCTTTGAAAACAGATAAGATAAATATTTGTCGTAGCATAAGCTAAAGGGCATAGGCCAGTGCCAGTAGAATGTCTAAATCTAGCCTCTTCCCTCCACTCTGTGCCTGACTCTGTGAACAAAGATGTCAAAAAGAATAACATCAATTTCATTGCTTTTCCCTCCAACAAATGTATCCTGTGGAAGGACTGCACTCACTTGAAAATCATGTGGGGAATCCCCCACGCCTGATTCCTGTGGTGTGAGCTGTCAAAACCACAGTTCTTAGTTCACCAATGCGTTTGCCCTATTACATGGTCTTTGTCACAGCCCTGATGATTAAGATGCAAATATGTATTTTTCCATTTGATTATGCTAAATGTAGGTCCAGGACCATGCAGGTTTGTAATAGATTCAGAAATTCATTTGAAGGCTCAAGTTTGGTCTCGATAAGCTTAATTCTTTTTTTATCATATTGGGAAATGGGAAATGCTGTGAGTGATATTTCTTCCTTGAGCATTAATTGTTAATTTTTTTGGAAGCAAGATTTTTTTTCCCCCTCTAGATGAAAGTAATATTTTAAGAAAATCTAAAATGTTTCAGTAATTCCTTCCATGCTTCTTTAATGATGATTTTTGTTTTAACTATCTGCAGAATTTCTAATGTGCTGCTCTGCAATGTGACGGATCGGGTGTCGTTTTGGTTTGTGGTCACAGATTCTTCAAAAAATGTGACAACTGTTCCTGGAAGTGAGGTAGAGGCAGCCATCAGGTACAGCCACTGCTTCTGCAACCTTTTGTTCCTTGCTGACTGAGGATGCTTTATCTCTCTGGGCCTTGTGTGAATGAGCACTCTGCCTCTTTAAGGATGAACTAATCCAAGTAGTTAAAACACCAAGGGGTCAGTACTCTTGTATTTTGCATGTGAGATTAGAGGATTTTTAACAGTCCCACAGAATGCAAAGCATGTGAGCCTTGGGTTTATAGCTTTGGAAGGAGTCTCTCTTAATGCTGGAGCCTCAGAAGAAACCTAGTCCCTTTCCAGAGCCCTACCTCTAAGTTGCTGTCCAGTGTGTGGCACGTACACTGCTTTCATCCAGCTGCTCTATTTCCCAGCCAGAGGGCCTTCATCCTCAGATGATGGAATTGCACACTTTCTGAGTGGGATTTATGTTGTTTAACTTGCATTGTGTGCCACATGCACATCTACACCTGGACTAATGACCATAGGCACCCTTGAGGTGTTTCTGAAGTATGATTCATCTGACTTAATTTAGAAGTCAGCGTTCACATGAGGAGAGCTCGTGTCAACTCTTCATGAGCAGAGCTGGCTCTGTCCCAGCTTGGTTTAAACAATCTTATACTGACATTCTTTTCATACCAGCTCTTTCTGGAATGCCAGTCAATATCATAGCTGAGCATTGCTTGTACAAAGTACCATGTGGTACAAATCAGTTGGCTTTCTACTAATTATTGCATTCTGTAGCCAATAAAAGCAGGAGTGTGGAGCTGAAGAGGGACCAAGAAAAAATGGGTAATCTGACTTCAATGGTCCACCAAACCTGCATAAGGGGTTTATAGGGATGACCCCCCCCAAGCAGTATAGCTCACGTACATTTCTCAAGCACGGAGTGGAAAACAGACCTCTTTGTTTTGAGGCGTTCTGTACTTTGTCTTGAAAATTCATGTTATCTTTATGGAGGTGTAATGCTTAATTCCTGATGAATGAGTATGCGTTCTTTTGGAAAGATTAACTTAAGCTTATGAGCAGATTAAACTATTTCCTACAGAGACACCAAACAATAGCTTCATAGCATTAGTGGAGGAAGCAGATTATTTATTCACTGAAGCTCTCTGTAAGAGTGCTGGAATGCAGGGTTTTTTGCATTTCTGTTATTCTTTGATACGTTCAGTAGCATAAGCTGATTTATTTAAGTCTTTTATGTGCCATGTTTGCCACAGAAATTGGATGCTATTATAATATGTTTGTTTTTTAACTGTTGTCTGTCACCCGATAAAGAACATGCCATTTATGAAAAGTTTTAATTCCTACCTAACTTAGAAACAAGAAATAAAACAGTCTATAAAACAGCAATGCTTTTTACTAAATTGCTTTTGATTGCAAGCTTCCATACTAAACCATTATTCTAATTCTTCATACTACAGTAGCACATAAGAACACTACCCATGGACTAGAATTTTAGTGTATAAGATTCTCTACAAAGTATGAATAAAGAGGAAGGTGAACCTTCTCAGACCTGTATCAGACCCAAGGTCTTGCATAAATACACATAAGGTATATTTATGCAAATACAAACAAGAAATGCACCTGTAGTTGCCTGCATGTGTTTCAGCACATAATTGTGTAACTCCAGCCGTTAGATGAGTGTGAACAATGCTTATTTCAGCTGTTCACAATGAGTCTTTCATATCAATAAGGATGAAAATCTTTTCTAAATCAAAGATGGCTTACCATATAAGGAGTCATAATATGCCATGGCTTTCAGTCCTCTCCAGGAATGCTAGCTTTCTGTTAAGGCTAAGAAATTCCTGTTTAAGGGACAGTCAAACATTATGATTTCCAAGAAAAGAAATTTGCAAAATCTTACCCGTATTCCCCATATATCTGTTCTTAGGAAATACTTGCTTTATGGTAAATAAATTCAGTTCAGGCTAGTTCAGTTCAGGCTAGAAATGAGGAGGCATTTCTTCACAGAAAGGGTCGTTCGGCGTTGGAATGGGCTGCCCAGGGAGGTGGTGGAGTCCCCATCCCTGGAGGGGTTTAAGAAAAGACTGGAGGTGGCACTTAGTGCCATGGTCTAGTTGACATGGGGGTGTTAGGGAAAAGGTTGGACTCCATGATCCCAGAGGGCTCTTCCAGCCAAACTGATTCTGTGATTCTGTGAAACTGAATTGTATACAAGAAAGCTGCTGTAAATCATACAACTGCAATCAAAAAGAATCTCTCAAGACTGATATACATAATACATTTTCTTATAAATTTTTAACATTTTGAAAAAACTGGTGAAAGATACTGCTAAAGTCTCTTACCTGTTAAGACTGCTTGGTTTCTGATCCAGAAATAACTGCAAATGCTTAGAAGTAGTGACTGTGGGTAAAGATCTCCATTAAAGGGTAGCAGTTGTACTACTCATACGAAAAAGTGTATTTCTCAGACTTACAGTTTCTCATAATGGAAGAATTGTGCGAAGCACAAATCCCTTTAGTTACATCCTGAGGGGAAGAAGGACATGTTGGCAATAAGGGTGGATTCTTCTGAACCAAATTGTATCCTGTGCCTCATGGACCTAAGAAAATCTACAGCAGCAAGAGCAGATGTACCGGCCCATAACATGCAGGATGATTCAGTTTGAGGAACCAAGGGATACTGATAGTTAAACCTTCTGAGCATTGCAGGGTAGATCTGCCACTGCCATGCTAATCTTGAATGCTGCATGAGCAAGACAACAGAGCCACCCTTACACATTACAACCTACTATGTCTTCGGCACATAGTCTAAAACAGAAATAAATACTAATACTGTACTTCAGGTCTCATCTGTATTTCCCAATTTTTCAGATAAATACATACGAAAGTCTGGTGTTCAAAACCTTGTAAGTGTGTGGGTGTCTATGGATTATGGACAAGGTCTATGTTAAAGTGAAGGTCTGTGGAATCCTACCAACATCATGCTGGATCAAACTCAGCCCTGCCAGACTTGCAGCACATACGTGAAAATTCCTTTTTTTTTCTTCTATCTTTTTAACTTGTAAAATACCTTTATAAAGACCTGTGATGTTCTTTGTGTTTTTATGAAGGATGAACCGGAACAGAATCAACAGTGCCTTCCTACTGAGTGACAAAACACTGCAGTTCCTGAAGATAACTTCAACCTTATCACCTCCTGTTGAACCCTCCACGCCTGTTTGGCTTATTGTATTTGGTGTCGTTCTTTGTCTCATTGTGGCTGGAATTGTTTTCCTCGTTGTTGCAGGGATTCAGCAACGCAAGAAGTAAGCGGCTTAGCTTTTCTTCTGTTTTAACTGAACACTGGCAAGTTAAGTCAGCTGAGCTGGTTTTGTTTTTCAGATCAGCCTCAGAGAAATTATAGCTGTGCCCCAGCTCCCTCCATAGGTAAAGATAACCCATGTGTCCTTTTCTGAAGAAAAGGGTTAAAATTTTTAACTGTGAAGTATAGATGCCTTAGTAATGCTGGGGTGTGATGGGTAAATAGGAAGTATAAGAATATGATCTTGGAGGCCACCTAACTAGAGATTATAGCTTTACAAAGACTTTTGCTGTCATTCTTCTTGAGGTTTAGTGTGCCACAGGTGAACCTCCTCTCGCAGACTGCCCAAATAGCTACCAAGAGGGAGAAGGCAGGCAGTGACTGTGCCCCTTCCAGGGCAGTAGTGTCAAAAGTTGGCAGGGCTAAAAAAAGTATTTGCTGCTCAGTTTGAGAAGCCTCAGTAGAGGACACAATAATGATTAATGTGTGGCTGAAGAGGGCCTGCTCAATGGAACGGTGCATGGTCTCACCTACCATTCATGACCTGAGGAGTCCAAAGTACCCATCCCTTCACAGGTTCATGACCAGATCTCCCCATGAACCTAGGCATTTGCTGTTTGGCAGTAGGCTAGGAGAGAGATACTCTCTTTTCCTCTCAGTTTCTGCCCTGTGGTGAAAACCAGAAGGCTGTTGATGCTTCCCTAGTGTAAGCATGTTGGAGCAAGACAGAGAGTAAGTGGAGTTTCAGTCCTGCCATCTCTGTTGGGTCAGAGTTGGACATAAGGAATAGAAATCTCTCAGCTGAACTGAGATTCTGCCATAGAAGTTCATCTTCTGTCATGCTTTAGGCTGCCACAGAGGTTAAGTTAACACAAAATTATGACTTCAGCAACAGAGTCATACAGAAGAACTGAAAAAGAGTAAATTTCTGCTGACAACTAAATAATGTTGAAATTATTGACTGTACGGTGGACTGCATCCCCAAATACATCAGAACAAGGAATTCATATATGAGAAGTTGTGTATTGCAGACTTTTACTTTCTGCCTCCTTATCACCTTGAAGAGCAATGTTAAAAGACCTCAGAAAAACAACACTTATTGCAGAAGATAAGTGCTTCTCAAAGAGAACCCTTAGTAGTGTAGTCAGAATCCCTTCAGTTATATTTTGCATTCAGAAGAGTTGCATGAATTTGCAAAACCCCTTTCTGTTTTCAAAAAATAAAATTCAACAAAAGATAGATGAGAGATGCTGTTGGGGAAAGAGCCTGGGCAGGTACTTGGGATCTATGGATGGTTTAAGCCCTGTCACAACCTTCCATGTGGTATGGGCTGAGTTATTTCATCCCCTGAACCTAGGCCACCTCTTCTGTAAAACTGGAGAATAATGTTGCTACCCGAAACCCATACCTGCCCTTTGTGTAGTATCATGGCTCTGTGTGTCTATATAGTGCCTAACTTAAAGGGGGTCTTTGAACATTTTGAGTAAGTGTAATATAAATAAATTTTGCTAAATAGCTATGATTTTTCTAGCTACAATAGTCATTTGTGCTTCATATCATGATGAAAGACAGCATTTCTCCCCTCTGTTTGCAAAATAACTCAGCTGAGCTTGAGCAGTTCCCCTCAATATGGTATCAATTACATGCTCTTATCATCATCCTACCAGTAATATGGCTTGTGGCTGCATGCCTGCGGTCACTTGGCATCCTCTCTGCCTCATGCTCTTGTTGTCCTTTTACTTGTTATGCTAATTTTCACTTCTCCCTCTGTTTCCCTGCTCTGCCTTTACATATAACATTTCCTCAGAGCAGATTCATCCATGATTTAACTCTAATCCTCCTTTCACACCAATGGCATCTGCAGGCAGAAGCAGGGGAGTGAGAGAGAGGGTAAACTAAGCATATATTTCTTCTGTCTACTGTTGCAAAGGCTGGATAGGTAAAAGGGATTGTCTGGGCTATTTGGCTTCTTGAAGGAAGAGCCAGACATCACAGCAGAGAATTTCAAAAGTGCTCATCTCTTTCTCAGGCACTGAAGTATGTCACCAGGTTGTCAAAGACTTCAGGATGTCCAGTAATGAGTTTTCCTGGAAATCTGACCAGAGCTGACATAATCACAGCTCTGTTGCCTAGTAAGCTGTGTTGGAAATCTGGCCCCAAGGACCGTGTTGACTTCTCATAAATCTGGCATTTTGTCTTTATAGGCCTTTAAAGTACCAGTTAAACATCTCAGTTCAGATAAGCCCAAAAACATGTGCTTCAGGCTGTTCGTACTCAGGGTGGCAGGGAAGCACATGATTGGCCTGTAATGGAGTTTCAGTAATGAGTTAGACTCATGCATCATTTCTTGCACTGAAAAATTTTCTTAATTAGGGCTTCACTGTTTATCGCTGCCAACATGTAAAAATTCCAAGCCTCAGCTGCCTGTGATTGGAGCCCTTGACTACAGTGAGCTGGATCAGACAGACTGTCTCTCAGCTTTATGTTTGTTCTCCTGTCATTGCAGCAATAGGACACCTCCCCCTCCGATAACAGATTTGGCACATACCCAGGGCAGAACCATCCTCTACTGGCTATGCTGGAGTAGACTGAAGTCTACCCCTACCCCCAAAATCCCATCTGCAGCAAAGGCCATAAACGTTTACCTCAGGAAGAGTGGAAACAGAGTACGTGCACACAGTGTTTCCCTCTCCCAAGCATCTAATTTACAGCTGGGTCCTTCCTGAGCTGGATTTGGTCTTCTTGGATAACCCACAGTGTTTTCTTTACCCTTAACTTGTTGAGTCTCCCCTTGGACTCATAGAAATTTTTAGCTTCTCTGAATTCCTATGGCAATGAGTTCCACACATCTCCTAACCCTCTCATTTCTTCTGAACCTGCTTCTTAGTATCTCCTTTTATGTTCTGCCCCCACAGTTTTTGTATTAAAGAACACTCTTTTTATCACTGCAACAGCAGATACAGTAGCCAGAGGTCAAAGGTTTCCACTACTACCCCCACGTTTATTTTTAGCAAGCCTGTAACGCCAAGAATCTCCCAAAAGCCAATAAAATTTTATTATTGCTAATATCGCTGTTATTAGCAGTTACACTGAGCCAGGTTGTTACGATTGTCCTGAGTCAGATTGTTATAGTACATGTTGCGGGATAGGAAGAAGCAGTGGAGCTGACCTTTGAGTTTCTTATCCTCTGAAACCGCTGATGTTGCAGGCTGTAAAGTACAGCAGGTTTTTCAACTATGAACTAGTAGATCTGAAGGTCGAATAAATCTGGAATTAAAGGAACATCATGACATGTCGACTGATATTTCTGTATTACATCTTCTCATGGTTGAATTTTTAGATGATTTTATTCAGCAACTACTTTAATACACTTTTGGTGAGAACTAGAGCCTGGAAAAGTAAAAGCCATGCAATTGTTTCATCTAGAAAACAAAAGTATAAAATACTAGGTAGGAAGGTGGCTGTTAATGAAATTTGAACTAAAAATGCAGGCTTGCAGCAGTAAGAGTACCTAACTTCTGAGAAGATCAAGGAATGTGAAGGCACTCAAGTCTCCGCAGTTGGAGGCTATAGTCTAAAGCCGTTCTGTTTCTAAAAAGTATGTTTTAATTTGTCCATGTCATGGGGTGAAATCTATGACATACGTAACAGGGTCAGACCAGGTGTTTCATGCAGTCCTTCCTGATGTAAAGCAAAAACAGATTTAGAGATTTTTTCCATTTTTGTTTTGCATTAGCTTTTCCTTCTGCACCCTCCAGTTATTTTACAGAATAAGGAAGTGAAGAAATATTTATAACATACTTACAACATGTTTACTTTAGGTTTTCTGATTCCCAGTCCTGACCTCAAACCACTAAACCAGGGCTTCCAATCTGTGGGCCTCCCACCTTCCGTGGTATATTTACAACAGCAAAGAGGTACATCAGATTATGCATTTCAGAAGAAAACCTAAGATAAATTTCTGAGTAAATGTGCAGTTTTCTGTCTGTGGAATTGCGGTGGAGTGCTGCAGGTCAACAGAGTAAGATGATTTTCTCTTTCTTGTTTTTAGAAAGAATAAAGAGTCAACAGAGAGAGAGAATTTAGAAGAGAAAGGTGAAGTGACAGTAACACTAGAAAATGGGATTCCTTGTGAAGCGCTGGATTTAAAAGCAGGCCACATTAATGGAGTCTTTGCAGCAGACGATGAACGGTTCACATCCTTATGAAATGCTGCCATTGCTATCTGGCGTTTTTTTGAAAGACTCCTGTGCCTACCTTATCTCGTCACTACTCCTGAATGTCAAACATGAAGAGAAGAAAAACATCCTTTCACTTAATTTCCCTCGAGAGAACCTTTTGCTGATAACACAAACACTCGAACCTCCATTACAAAGCTTTTGTTCATGAGCAAAGCAAATGAGAAGACCTCAAATGATATCCATTAAAGATTTCCAGAAGATGTGTGGCAGAATAGGGTTGAAATCTGCCTTGTATCAGGCATTTAATTTTTAATGATTATTTAAATATGTCCATTGCTTGTTTTTCCCTGATACAAATGTGAAACTGCGTTATTCCTGAATGTCTCTGAGGAGATCGTCTATCATTGTCAATTCTTGCTAGGCTTTTTTTCAAGCCACATGCAAAAGTTTCTTTGTAAAATGACATCTGTTTGCTGATGTGCAGTATGCCTTTGGATGGAATAGTGATCAGTGAATCAAAGTTTTCGTTTATTGAGAAAAAAAAAAGCAAGCTTTCACAGCCTCTGTAAGAGCAGGTTAAAATGGCGGGGCCATCTATAGCTTTAGGACTAGCAAAGATCTGGTACTAAAAGTGTTTTTCACTTAACGGTCAAAGACACAGATTACGTGACCTGGAAATTAAAAGTTGCAAAAGTTTGAAATTTGTTGAAATTAAAAGTTGCAACAAAGGGCAGATTTTCCAAAGCTGCAGCCTGTGGTTAGTGGCCCAGCTCTCATTGAATCTATGAGGGCATTTTGCAGCTCTTTGAAAAAATCATCCTTACATTTTTTAATAATAAAATTAGGTTTCCAAGACATAGCCAACCTGGGGTCAGCTGAACCTTCATGTGACAGCTGGATAGCTTTTGAAAAGATTCAGTGCTGGAAACACCAGCTGCTGGGCTTGGTGCACCCGACCCAGATGAGAACGTGTAGGCAGTCGTAAATCGGCAGAGACCTTTCAGACCTGTATTTCCTATTTGCGTAGCTGGGAGATGAGGGCATCAAATGATGCCAGACCCTAAATGGCGCTGTTGGATTACTTTGAGGTCAGCTATACATACAGACTGTCCTATCTGTGCCCTAATCCCCTTCCCATTTAATTCAGTGATAAAATTCTGACTGATTTCAGAAGAACTAGACCGCAGTAAAGGGGAGTTGTACGTGTGGGTAACTGTACACAGAGAATGGAAGTGTGTTGAAGCAAAATACGATGTCTGCAGTCACCAAACAGCTGCCCACGTCACTGGAGGTAGGATTTGACCATTAGCTATCTTGTTTCCAGTGTCATGTTTAGAGGCAGTATTAGAAAACCCATTTACTTCTTATGGTTATTCCATCAGACTCCTCACCAACAGGAACAGGGTAAAACGGGGTAAAAGCTGCTTGGAAAGGACCATCCAGTGTCCTGAAGAGTACAAAGGTTTCTTCTCTCCTTCAGCATTTTGGCTGTATTGAGCACCTTTGGCTGGCTGTTTGACTGAGCACTGGCTCTTGGGAGCGGGGTGAGTGGAAGGGGAGGAATGGGGAGGAGGAGGGGAAGCGGCGGGGAGGAAGCTGAGCGGGGGAAGCCCGAGGCTAGGGGAGAGGAGAGCAAAATGCAAAATAAAACTATGGAACCCGCTGATCATTTGCCTCACGTGGTCTTATCTGTCACGGTTGTCTTTGGTGTCCTGCTGATGGGACCCTCTGGCCAAGGACTGCGTCTTCTCTGTGTCCCAGATGGTGTGCTGCTCCATTCTGGAAAAGGATTAGTAAAGTGAGTTATTAGTGACATCTCAGTGCTTCAAAATTACCACCCACAACATGGTGATGTATTTCTCACAGGAATGTCAAAGATGCAGCTTACCAGTGTTTAAGAACATTTGAGGGAAGATATAGAGTACGGTGTTGTTATTGCTTCCTCAGTCATTGCTCCAAGGTCTTTCATTCAGGCAGAGTTTTATTGAGGTAATTCAGATCCCATCATTTCTAAACCTTCACACTTTTCACATTCTTTACATGACAGATAGCTACACTGCAGTGTGACCACAACGGATTGCCATAACTGCAGCACCTCTGCAAGAACCCGTGAAAGATTTTGGTGAGAATAGCTTGGTGGTGCAACAGCAACCTCAAGCTACCGGTTAAGAATTACTGTTATCCTGTATTGTACCATATGACACTGAAATAAAATTTATTTGATATGAAAAAGGGCCAAGTGTATCCGAGCACACTTCTCAAGGCCTGAGTGAAGGTTCAATTCAGCTGATGGCACCGGCCAGCGATTTAAAAATAGATTGAAAGCCTCTGAACGAAACATTATGTGATGTGGGCCGACTCCGGTGGCAAGTGTTTAATTACTGAGTTCCTCCCAGCTCACCTTTTAGCCACATAATTACTTTACAGCAGTTTGGTGTAATTTTCTGCTAATGATGATATGGGATTCACCCAGTGCATGCATCTTGCTTGCCTCTCTGCTGACAGAAAATGGCTTGAGAGAAGCAAATGATACAAGAGCAGGCAGGTATCACACTTAGCAATGCTTTGAAGTCAGTGCTGGTATTAGCTCTTTCATTGAAATAGGTCCCACAAACTAGGTTAATCAAGGGCACAGTGCTACAGAAGAAATAAATCTCTCTTCTAGTCTCTTTGTGCAGCAGGATCGTATTAGAAAACAAAGAGCACTTTGATTTGGTAAAGCCTGTCCTCCAGAGCCTGCAAATGGTACAACGACAATTTATATCCCTTGAGGATCTGGCCCAGGTGTTTTATGTAACTTTCACTTTTTTTTTTTCTCTAAACCACCTGCCATCGAACGACTTGATAATAATCAGGAAAGTGAGTAACAAGCTCTATAAATTATACTGTAAACTACTTCCTAAAACAATGAGTTGATTCTGCTTTCAGTTACATTTGTGCCGTGCCAATGAATTTCGACAAAGGAACATGGTGTGCCCGAGACTGAACTGTTTTATTTTCAAGAGCTGCATTTGAGAAAAGAGAAGAGAAAAGAAAATTCAATTAAATGAAGCAATAAAGCCGGAGAAGTTCTGTTTGAAGAAAATCTGCAATGTTTATCACTAGCTCCACATCCCCAGCGAGTCGACATTTCAGGAAGGACATTACAGTTCTGTTCAGCTTACTTTAGAGAGAGTATTGATGTCTAGGCTAGAATGAGCACAAATCATGCATGAGTAAGTTGTTTATGCTGTCAGTCATTAGCTACACATTTGGAGTGCTGGAGAACGTCGGGAACTCTGCAGTGCCCTCCTTAAATTAGGGACCACATCAATTGTGACACAATCGTTTACTGCGCGCAGCCTTCAGCAGTGTATCAACCACAGACTGGTTTTGTAAATTAAATGAATAGTCCTTGTTTATCAATATTTATCTAGGGAAGATTGCAAACTGTGGGCAGATGCTGAAGTCCTTACTGGAGCCATTCTGCCACTTGCTTTAAGGAAAGCTAACCACTCTGTCCTGCAAGCTGATGCTTACTCTGTGTTGGAGAAGACTAGACTGAAGCTTGTTCTGTCACATCAGCATTCGCCTCTTCTCTTCCAGGACAGTGTACAAAGTCTTGAGAGAGTCTGTCTGTGGTACTGACCCCGAAACATCTCCCTATTAGCCCACCTTGAAGTCTAGCGCTCACAACTGGACCAGTATTCCCCTGGGGCAATGCCAGTGCTGAGGAGCCTGGAGGGATGACCTCATGGGCCTCTTGCAGACTATATGCTCTTTGTCTTCATACAACTTGGTCTGCATAGACTGTATGCTCTGATTGTCTGTCCAGGTATGACAGACAATTTGCTTATGTCATGCTGACCTTCATGGAGAACCCTTTCCTGGCTATGCCTTCGTAGGGGAGCACCTTTGTTCCGCATTTTGAGGGAAGACATAACTGAAGGCAGTTCGCTATTTCTGCTGGTGTTCACAAAAGAGGAGGGTGAAGTGGGCGCAAGGAGCCTCAGGGCAGGATTCAGGTCTTGTTCCTTCATCACTGTGAGAATGAAATCGTTCCCAAATTAATACAAATCATAGCATTAGCACAAGAGCTTCTGGTTTGATAATTTGTTTCCAAGACCTGGGCATCAGTTTTGACCAAGCAGGGAGAGTTACCACGTCTTGACAGAGTTTTCCATGTGTAACCTCCCACATGTGGGATAACAAAAGAAATTACTTTAAAGCTTAGGGCAGAAGTGCAACAAAGATTTAAAATAACTCCCAGTGAAGAGTGGGAGTCTATGTTTCTAGATACCCTTAAAAACATGGCTCAGATGCCCTCAGAAATTTGGTCCGTTCATCAGTGCAGTAACCTGTGGCTCAGGAAATGAGCTGTTCTAAATGCGCCAAGTTTTTATAGAAAATGCATTGACCAACTGTCCACAACCCATTAGCAATAAGCAATCTGTGCTTGGTTTTCTGTGAACAGTTCCTTTTGGCCTCTCATGGTTTTTGTTTCCTTTTAATGTGGTGGGCAAGAAGGGATGTGTGCAATGGAGTGACACCACAACTTCCTACGCTACTGGACAATTGCTAATGAAAACTTTGCACTGTTAGATATGCCTAATTTGATGGACTGAACTTGCTAGTTTTCAAATCGCATAAAACTAAAGTATGTTGACAGTGATGAGTGATGATACACACTTGCCAGCACAAATGTGTCAGTATATTCAGTTTTGTGAATACATTAGGCAATCTGGATGCACTTAGCATAATGCATTTGCATTTTAACTGGATATTCTGTGGCTGGATTGATGTTTGCATCAATCCAGAGGAATTCCACCTTTATAGCATGGGTTCAACTTTGTTCTAAGTAAAGTCGGCAGGTTCAGTAGGAGCTGAATTTGTCGTAAGATCTAAAAGAAAAGTTTAATTTTGCTAGTCTGTCCTCTTCCTTCCTACTGTGTTTCCCTTAGAGGTGGCAATCCGAAGCTATCAAAGCATCTTATTAGCTACAGCAACGGCTAAATAGAAAGCACTGAATTTTGGAGAAATGGCGAGAGTACACTGGCATTATCTCTCTGTCAGCTTCTGCCTCTCTCCTATCATTAAGATTCTAATTGCTACAAATTACAGTGTGTAGCTTTTATCAGTTGTGGACCAACAGGAATTTTAGACTTTGGACTAATGTTCTCTATGACATTGTATCTAAACGACGTTGTAGATGCTGATGTGCGGGCACATGGTCACTGTAAAACGAACTGGGACCACTCCCGCCCGCCTTAGTAAAACTGAACTGAGTAACATGGATTGCCTAGATGAAAAGCTGTGTTTCACAGGATTAGTACCTCA